ATTCCAGGATGGCCCCACATGCCAGATCTAAGCACCCCACGGGACTGGATCCAGCTCGTGGGCCTTGAGTTTGACCTCCCTGATCTAGAAGAAGACCAAGAGTAGGTCTCTCTTAAAAACTTGACAGAAGAGGCAGCTGAAATCAATTACTTAGTTATGACTTATTTTTAATTACCTTCATTCCAAATTCCAGACAGTTGGATTACACAAATAATCAGATCTGCACTGGATTCAAATAAAGGTTTTGAATTTTGATGCAGTAATAGGTATATTTTTCATGGAACTATCTGAATGTCTTCAAGACCATCAAGCTGGCTGACTTACTTAGCTGACAACCTGCCTACAAGCTTTTACAGGCCACCTCCAGCACTTTACATGCTACTTCTGACTTGGCTAGACATGATGCTATCTATTAACTAAAGTTGGGGCATGAATGGAGATTGCCTGAGATACATTATGCAGCTGCAAACTTCAGAAATATAGTATGATGAATAAGAGTATTATTGTTAAACATTAGCAAAAAACCACTATTTTCTAGAAAATTTGCTTGCGTTGAGAATGGATAGATCTTTCAAGCTGTTTATGTATATGTATATGATTTTTTAAAATCATATACAATTAAGATCATGGGGGGAAAACAAATACCTGGTTTAATGCAAACTAAAATTCCCAAAGCAATCAGTGTTAAAATTCATTCAGGGCATATCTCATCTGCATCTTTCTGTGAGAAATCAGACACCTAAGATGGTTTAGATAAATGGCTCAATTAATTGTACAGAAGTAACCCTCTTTGAGCTGAACCAGAGCTGTGAGCTCTTTATTAAAAGCACTATTCTGTAGTCCATAACCTCGTTCCTTGACTCCTCTCTAGTTTCCAATTTAAACAAGTCCCTGTGCGGCATGTTCTAAAGGGCTTTGTCTCCCTGTCATTGTTAAGAGAGCTGAGGCATCCTGGAAGTGTGAAATCAGACCTCATGAGCTGAACGGTTCCCCAGGGAACACTGGACTGCGCAGAAGGTCAAAGTCATGGGCTGGACCATCTGAAAGCACCCTGATCACCCATCTGTGACATAGCAAGCAGGGGAAGTGTGTGTGTGAGGAGACTATAATTGAACACATCTTAATTAAAACCCAGAGATAGCAAAAATAAACTGTTTCCTAGGCAGCCTGTCAAATGCAGGTTTCACTAATGAGTTCCAGTGTTTTAATTTCTTAACAAAAGTAAGACTCAGTTAGCAGTAGTAAAAACAAGGATTCGACATCATATTCCTGTTCTTGTTTCGCAATAATCTTTCATCAACAATATTAATTAAAACATATGAACATTAAATCATCAGCACACTATTATTAAACATGCAAATAGAGAGCTAAAGAATTATTTCACATACAATAATCAGCTATTATTAAAATCTTTTATAAAAACATTTTTGTTGTATTTTATGTTTAATACTCTATTTTTAAAACAATTTAAGATGCTACTTTTTAAACATCTTAAGCTGTAGATTTGTCTGAATTAAATTTGCAGATATTTTCAATGATGAATTCAATTATTCTTTAGTTGTGGCCTTCATTTAAAAGTTATAGATTTCCATGGAGATTATCAATTGCTCAAAGAGGAAAAAAAAGAGGACAAAAAAAATTAGCTCCTTTTTGATAACTGTTTGACAAGTTGGATTTTATAATTTTCTAATTTTTCTCAGGATAGTATCCATTTTAATTGACTCAAAATGCTGTCTTAGTAAATAGAAAACAAACTTTCTCTCCCATTAATTTAATGAATGATATTCATTCATTTTAAATATTGTTGGTTACCAAGATTATTTCTTTCACTGGGAAGAAAATAAACATTATTAATAAAATCAAAGACAATGGCCCTATAGAATTGCTTTTACTGAAAGATTCCATAGCTTTTATTACATGATGGTGCTATGTCTAAAAATATGTCTGAAAAATGTTTAAGGGCTAGAACTTTATTTTGGGTATGTCAGTCATACAGCATGTGCTATATTATTAGAGTAAAAGGAATCAGGAGGTTTTCATAAACTGCATCATTACTCCAGTCATTACTGTTATGTCAATACTGGAATGGAATTTGGAAAGTCATGAATAACTTCCTTTGAAATGTTAATAATAGCTACCAATTAATACCATATAATAAGAGTAACAAAAAAAAATCATATAAAAGTATGTCTTACAGCAATACCAAACATGGTTAATTCAGAATAAGATTTGCTGATTATTAGTAGATTTTAGTGTAATTCGTGTGGTCATAAAACTATAGGTATACACACATACAAATCTTTTTTACTATTACAGCACAGTATTTATGAATTCATGTATGAATTATATTTATACAGTCTCTTTCATTGATAGTGTCAATATGACTGAAACTGTAAACTCTCTTTTGAGTCAGGATTGATTCTTGAGTGATTTCAGAAACAACTGGCAATAGTAGAGGCATACACACATACACATATCCAAAAGTATTATGAAAATAGTTTATAGGTGGTCCTTGTTTAATGAACATTTGTTCAGCAACTGTTCAATTTATGACAGTGCCAAATGAGTAGTAATTACAACCAACCCTCATACTTACAGCTAGCATGGTGTTGTCAAGCAGAAATCAGGTATGGCTTTGTGCAACCAAAGAGACAGAGACTAGGTTATCTCTCTTTAAAAATAAGTGCTTATTCAGCTGAACAAAAACGGGTCCTCCCATAAGACTGGAAAAACCCTGAATGCAGTTTGAAGCAAGTATATACAGACTTCTTGTTTCTTGGTGGCTTCCTATTAGTTATATAACAGGAAGTGGGCATATAGTAGATAAGGTACAGCAGTTACAAAAATACCTGTGCATGCCTCTTACGGTTTTATCATATGCTTAGCTCACAAGCCTTTGGTTTCTTATGAAACTTTCCAAATGCCAAGGGCCAACTAAAGCCTAAACTCTATTTCTGCCATTTCAACATAAGAACCTTTTAACCAATCATCAGATTTATCACAATCCTGATCAACATAAATCCTCCTTTCATATTTTGACCAGTGCACAGAAGTATGACCAGCAAAGACAGGATAAACAGAGACGGCATATGAGCCACACTTCTGATGTCTCAAGGGACAGTGGTTAGGGCAGGCAGACATGATAAGAGGGAGACAATGTATACAACAGCAGAAGAATATAAGGAAGATGACAAAAAGGATAACCTGAAAAATCTCCCGGAACCAATCCCAGTCAGGTAGCCAACTAGTAAGCCAAGAAAAGAGTCCAGAGAAGAGGCCAACATCAGCATCTTTGGGTCTGTTCTGTATCTCCTTTTCCATGAGATAGATGTGTGATCTCAAATTATCAAGTCAGCATAGAGAGATGTAATTGCAACAATGGGGGTGAATTAATGTACAGAGACCTTCCTAGGTAGCAAGGGCAACATCCAAGGCCTGGCGATTTTGAATCACTTGCTATGAAATATCCTTCACTTGATGGAGCTTCCGTTGTAATGGGGTCCGTATGAGCTCAGGCTGACATTGTCTCATATAGGTTGTACAGGACCAATGGACTGTGATCCTCACTGATATTAATGCCAAAAGCCTGATTGAACTTATACACCAATTCCCATTAGGTATGGTTGACTTTCCAGGTGATGGTGCACCATGCATACATACCAAGTTTATATTTGGAGGAAGAATTAAAAGGTTGGAGGCAAGCCACTGTTCTGTGTTGGATACGAGCTCCTAACTTTGCAATTATTTGTTTTTTATTATGGAGAATGGGCATCTTCCAACTATCTTCCAACTATCAGTAACATCTATGATTTGGTATACCTGGGCTTCCAATGGGGATGCTTCCATGAACAGCCCCTAAGTGCCAGTCGGGGGTATGTGTGCACAGATCCACAACTGGTAATGTTTTACAGTTTTGCTCAGGTCTGGATATTCTGAATATATGTGTTGGTACTCCAAACCCCAAAGATGGCCACCGAAGTTGTTTGTTATCCTTCCATTTGTTTTGGGATGGGGTGGTGCCTTCATGTTTCAAAGTTTTCGCATGGCCCAGTTGTACTGGGTTGTGTTCTGCTGGAAGGTCTTCCTTATAGACCAACTCTCTATGAGCCGCAAAGTTTGCTTCTCTCACTATACCTTCCTGGCCGCCTTTTTGTAAGCCAAGTCACATGGCGGAAAAAGATAGAGTGCTTATGGCAAATCACTGAGTGGCTGTTAGTAAACCAGTGACTCCTTCGGTGTTTTGGCATGCGATTGAAGGGTGATGTTGTTTAAACAAAAGCTTCAGCCCAAGGTCATCCTCAGCACCACGGGCTACAGTCCAATTATAATTGGAGTCCTCAGAAGGATCAGAGGACTTGGGACGGGTGTGGTGAATCCAGGTGCAAATACCAGCAACTTTGACAGCCATATGGGTTATGAGAAGGATGAGGAAGGGTCCTTTCCACTGTTTAGCCAGGGGACTGGAGTCAGTCCAGGATTTCACAACTAATGAGTCACCAGGAAGGAAGGAATGCAGTGGGTGATCCAATCCCGGGTGATGGAGGGCCTGAACAGCTTGGTAAATGGAGGAGACATTTTGAGAAAGAGAGCGAGCATAGTCCTGGAGGGCTTGGTCCCCAAAGGCAGGAAGGGACGTGGAGATGGAGATTGATAAAGATTTAACTTAAATCTTGATAAAGATTTAACTTATTTCATGTAAATTACATTGTACATACAGCAATTCATTGAAGGCTCTCAGAACAAAATATTTTGGCAGCCATGTGATTGCTTTGTTTCATCTTTTCTGTCAAGTAAGAATTCGGGTTCTTAAAAGCCCAGATATAAATTTATTTGCAAAATGTTTTTTAAAAGATGTAACAGAATTCATCATTAAGCAAGAATAGAATAGAAGCCTAGCAAACTTCAGTTTTTTATTTGCTATACTGTTGGTTTTGTAAAGTATAATGTTATAAAATTAGTCAGTAGTTACTGATTAGCATAAAAATGGAAATAGGTCTTGCCTGTAACATCAGCTGCCATCAAACCTTCTGCTCTGATGACCTTTACCTGGAGAAATCCCACATCCTTTATGTTTTGAAACATCTGCATTAGGTTCTAGAAACATACACAAAATTTAGAAAATTACACTGAAGTCATAAAAAAAGCAAAATAAGAGGAGACCATTCCGTCTTAAATGTTCTAAGTTGTCCTGATGCCTTACATCACATATGTTTCTTACATATACTAACTGTGAAGCTGCACTTAGGTCTGACTCAACACTTCATTCTGGAACTGTCATGGAGACAGCTTCTCAGGATTAGTCTTAAATGTAGTCAAAAAGAAAGAATCCAAAAAGAAACATATAGATATATTTCCACTGCAGTACACAGATATCAAAGCTTTTATATATATTTGGATCCTGGATTGAATTTCTAGGCTTTTTTTCCTCCAACTTTCCTGATTCAACAGGTATTTGACTGATCTCTTGATAGCCTAGGAAGGCATCTGAACTATGCTCATCTAGTTCCCATTGGCATGGAAACCACTGGTTCCTGCTATACCACTTTTATTCCTTAACATTAGTTGACATTCAGTAGAGCAAATATTCAGTTCTATCCCAAATACATAATTTAACAAGTCTAATTTAAAAAGATATTTAATATTTGTTGTTTATTTTAAATCATTATTTAATTGGAATAGGTCCCCAGAATTATATTAAATGATGACACCTTGATCATAAGGTATTTCTATTCTACAAACCAGCAATTTCACAGGTTCTTGATAAATAATTTAGAAACTGGAGTGTTTCTATGAGTTAGTTACCTGTAACAAAACTAAAAGTATAGAAACATATTTCTATACTACTTAGCTTTATTCCCTACAGCTTCCTCATATTATTCACAAAATAGCAATATTTTAATTATTAATTATTTATTAATAATAATTAATAATAATTATTAATTATTTTATTCACAAAATAGCAATTATTTTAATTTTTTATAAGTTTGTTTATAAATTTATATAACAAATTTGTTTATAATTTGTTTTAATTGCATAAACACAGCATGTGTTCAAATTCCCTATATTATGATATAAAACTGTATTTTTATATAGTTTTATAATTACTACTATATAACCATTAGTTTATACAGTATAATTAAAATATTTTATAAAAGTGTTGTCTTTTAAAAATAGTATTTATTTTTAAAAAATCAGGAAACAGCAAGTAAAGAATGAATTTCTAAACATTTTGACAGGTTAAATCCCATTAAAGTAGCAAATCTGGATTTTAACAAACGTCTGAATTAATGCTCTTTTCCATTATGATGCAAAATTTAAATTCTCAATCATATTCTGTTTAACAAAAATGTTTTCTGCTTGAAAAAGCTGAAATCTTAACCATGTATTAGACAGAACCATTTATAAATAAGAATGAGACACAAAGCCCGTAATATACATCTCAGAGATGAGAGACAATGTTCAGCAGGGACAATGTAGTTTATATAGCACATCAATCTTCACATATCTCTAGCATTATATAAGATCACTAATACTATATCTGTTAACTTTTAATTTCATAATATTTGCCTATTAAAAATTTGCTTAATCAGAGAGACAACCTTCCCCTCTACCTTCCTTTTCCCCCCCCCCCCTTGATTTGGTTTAAAATTAAGTCTTAAAGAAAGCAACAGAAAAATGCTATTTGTCATTACTTATCATTTATTATAATTCTCAAAAAGGTCTGGGGACTTTTTTTTGGTCAATCCTGGCATTTTAATACAGATATTTTCCAGTTCCATGCTATGTTGAACAAGGGAGGCATGGTGAAATTAAAAGTCTTTTTTGTTGTTTTGAAATTGCATTTGTTTTGCATTTCCTGTTAACAGGGAACAAAAGCAAAAATCCACCTTTTCACCTATATGCGGATTCTGTTCATTTAAAGAGACCTGGCAATATTTTGCCGACTATTATTTGCCAGTGAGATAATTATAGTTTGAACTTTTAGATTTTGCTAGTCAGCTGATTTAGTGCAATTTACTGCGTTTCTGAAAATCTCAGCCAATGACACACTGCAGATTATTGTAGGATTTTGTGAAAAGCAAATGACTTTAATACATTACTTTAAACATGCAACTTAAAGTAATGATTTATGAGATGATTATCAGTCATCTTATTTATGAAGACTGTTGGAGGCCTCAAAACCCAGATGGTATTGGAGGCTTCAAATTTCCATAGCACAGAAATCTATGATTTGCTGTGAATCCTTTCAGCCCTCAATAGATGGGAAAAGATTGAAATGCTCTGGAGATGAGTCCTCTTTATTTTTTTAATGAAAGGCTGTATAATATATTTTCTGTATAGCTGCAGCAGCTGTCAGCGAGAGCATCTCAGTTCAGCTCTATTATGGGAGAACCAATACCCCATCCTATGGCATCAAGATACACTGAGGGGCCAGCACTGATTGACAGCTTGTCACCATGACGTCTTATTCCATCTCTGTTATGGAGAAAATTAATGTCACACCACCAGCCTTATGACTCGCTGTCATCTTATAACTGCTCACCTTTTATCAATGCTCTAAATAACATTTCAAGCCCCATCGTCTCACGGTGGACAATCCGGTCAAGGGACATTAAATCGGATGACTGTGAAATGTCATAATAAAAATGGAATGCTAACAACTTCTTCACTAAACTAGCTTCTCTGGTTTTTAAACTGTGACAAGGGGGAGCAGGGGTTCAGCATACCCGTTCTGAAAAGGTCACAGAATCTCTCTTTTGGTCTGCTACCCATTACGGCCCTCCTCCCATCCCAAAAGGAATTAATCTTTTCATACAATTGTGATAAAATGGTTCAAACGGTAATGCCTCTTTAATTTGTAGGGCTCTGATGTTCTGCTACAAATGGTTAAATGACAGTAATAGAGTCATTTTCCAAGACTATTTGATCTGATGGCAGGGTCAGTGCATTTATTCTTTTCAGTCTCAAAAATAGGGCAAAACGCATTTTTAAATAGAAAGACCTCCTTCTCAATACTTTAAAAATAAAACTTTATAAATAATTTTAGAGTAAAAAAGATCATGAATTTGTCAGTTAACCAGTAATAGTTACTACAGATTTAGCAAAGGATAACAACACTAATATTGAAGATTTCCTGTCAAATATGTAGGGATAAAGATTTGCTACAAAAATATGTAGCTATTTCCATATCCGGTATACTACAATGCTGTTATTTATCCAGGATTATTGCAGCTATGTGTAGCTCATGTTGACGAACCAAGTTATCCAGCTTGTAAGTACCAACAATCTTAATGTCTGAAATACACATACTGGAAATCAGATATTCAATATCATACTTTTTTTTTTAACAATACTGCTATTCTCTATTAAAATTTGCTTAAACTAATAAAAAAAATTGGGGAAAAGAGATGTAGGTTCAAAAGTTGTGATTTACTGGTTATTTGTTTATTAATAAAAGATAGTCAGAACAATGAACATCCTTTGCTTCATATTTTTCTGGTATACTGGATACCAAAATGCATATTTCATTAAAATTAATATCTGAGAAATGCATTTATCTCCCAAGATATAGATCAGCTTGCCTTAGTTGACTCAAAAATCTGAAATAATATTGGGTAATCATTAGTTTTCAGATGATTTAGTATATTTCTTAGTTCTTGATTTTAAAAATATAATGGTTAGGCTTGCTAAGTCACCTCTATTAAATTGTGTTTATGATAATACTATTGGTGTATGATGTGTACAAGTACTTGCAGGCAGCTGATTCAGTGGAGATAGGTAAAATAAATTTGCTGAAGCACACATCCTGCTAATCTGTTTGAAGAATATTGTACAGCAATAGTACTAGCACTTCATATTATCTGCACAGCCTGATAAGGTACATCTTTATTAAATTCACTTATTGAGAGGATGTCAACCATAGAATAGGAATATTTTAAAACAAAACAAAAAAAAATTGAACAGTCCTCTGTTAGTCAGAGTTTAGCTTAATGCACAGTGTCTAGAGATAACTTCTAAACACCTGGCAGACCTATACAATAAAAGCTTTATAATTTTAGGAGAGATAGCTTTTCTTCTTTCTTCTTTGTGTTTAGTAAGTCAGTTTTAGTGAATCCAATATTAAAAAAACTGGAGTAAGAGCTCCCCTTGCTGTTCCTTTACTAAAACTACACAATTGCTTCTATGATACAAGGACAGAATATTTTTCAAAATGTTCAATATCAGATTTTAAACATTCAGTATCCTTATTATTTCTTTATGTTAGATTTCTAAGCTACTCAAAACATCTGATTCTAATAGAACAAATCCCTGAAGGAAGGGCTTTGTTTTAAATAATGCAAAGTTGATCCACATATAAAATTCAATTCTTCAGCTATTTAAGGACCATTACTTGTTGGCAAAGTCAGTAAGGAAAATATCTTAATTATAACAAGAAGTTAACATTTCAGTGAAAAAATAAAATCAAGTAAAACTACATTTATACATATATATTAAAAATAAACAAAATAATATTTATTATCATAAACTGGAGGAAGCTACCCACAAGAGTTAGTACAGATGAAGTACTGTATATAGTCTTAATAGAGTGAGCAACAGGTTGATGGAAGAAGAGATAGCTACAGCTGCCATACTAAACTGATATTCTAAGGAAAGTGACTTCAACAATTTTTAGTACTTTATAGGTTGGTTTCTTATCCATACTGTTTCTTTTGGGTGGGGGGAGGATTCATCTAGAAGGAACAGATCTCTGACTTGTGGACTCTCCTGGACACCGCACTACTATAACTTGCTAAAGTTGTGACCAGAAGGATCTCATCCTCTATTTTATCGTTTAGTAAAACTGTATTGTATTTTTTTACTGTTACCTACTGGGAGCAGAACTATTATGGCAGCATATATAGTAAGTAAGTAAGTAAGTAAGTAAGTAAGTAAGTAAGTTAGTTAGTTAGTTAGTTAGTTAGTTAGTTTGTTTTTCCTTTTACATTTCACTGTTTATCACTATAATCTTACGCAAAAAGAATAAGAAAAAGATGCTGCATACATATCTTTTTAGGATTTCTTTCTGTTCCTTTGGGTCTTCCAAGGCATTCATTGAGAAGTCAGAGATGCTGACCGCAGCTGAAGCAGTCAATGTAACCAGCAGTATCAGATGCCCTTCGCCTTCTTCCAGAGGCAGCTCTAGCTTATGAGTATGCTCCTTGCTTAAAGTTGACAGGTCAACCTGGCACCTAGAAACAAACATTTTCTTTAGCATGATGTTAAATTTACAACAATGCTGTGAAATATTGTGAACTCAGTTACCCAAAATGAACCATATTATATTTACTTCTTATTTTCAGAACAAAGTCTTCAAATCATTCAGCAAAACAGATATTTTATAGAATCATACTCCTGTCTATGAAGTTGAAATGCTAGAAAAAAAGAGTACTAGAAATGAAATGTTCCTTTAGCATCCTTGTATAACTTTTAAAAATTCATAGCAGGAAATCCAATATATTGCTAATGTTGACCAAACTCCTTTTGTTGACTGAGCAGCAAAGAGATGAAGGTCCCCTCTTCACTACAGCCTATGATCGCATACTCTAGATAGTGGGGAGGAGGGCAATCCTGATTTGGGAAGGAAACAGGGAGACTGAAAGTCTTATTGGTCAGATTTCAATATATATAATGTTAGCATTTAACCAGAGATGTAACTGAAATCTATCCAACCTTGGTTCAGAGCAGGGGTGAAATTCTCCCGGTTCAGACCGGATCGTCCAATCCGGTAGCGATGGCGGGTGGTGGTTCGGAGAACCAGTAGCAAAAGTCCCTTCCACCCCCATGCCCAGCTGAGTTGTGCAATTATCAGAGGTTTTTTTTTTAAAGTATTTTAAAGTATTTAAAGTATTTTTTCTACAACCTCTTCAGCCGAAAAAATGCTTTTAAAAGTAAAAAAAAAAAAAAAGCCTCTGATGATTGTGCGACTCAGCTGGGATCGTCAGAGGCTTTTAAAACCATTTTTTCTACAACCTCTTCGGCCAAAGAGGTTGTAGAAAAAATGCTTTTAAAAGCCTCTGACGATCCCAGCTGAGTTGCCTGATCGTCAGAGGCTTTTAAAAGCATTTTTTTTTACAACCTCTTCGGCTGAAGAGGTTGTAGAAAAAATGATTTTAAAAGTTTTTTTAAAAAGTTGGCCACGCCCACTCAGTCACATTAACCCCCCACCAAGCCACGCCCACAGAACTGGTAGTAACAAATTTTACATTTCATCACTCGTTCAGAGTGCAACACATGTTTGGCTACACACTCAATATTTTTTTTCTACAATCACAATTTATAATGTTATCTCTCCACCTATGCAGATGGATCATTCTAGCCATAAGAGGAGGTAGGGAAAGAGACAGAGTTTTAGAAGTATTTCCCAACCAGCACCTAGTAAGTCAAAAAGCAAAAGGACAAACAGATTTTGTACTCCAGAAATCAATATCATATGAGCATCATAATCTGGATATAGAGCTGAGTGTAGAAGCAGATCTATCTTTACACAATTCATGTGGCAAATTCCTTGCTGATAATTAACTGTTAATAGGCAAAGCCCTAATCTAAGCATGCAACACAGATAACAAAGTCAGGCAAAGCCCTTGAGGCATTAAGCTGATTCAAGCCAAAGAGTCCAAAAGATGAGATGAAAGACACTTTTAATAGATATTTGATCAAATGCCTTGAGTATATTCTTCATAGTATCTTCTGAATGCAGACATAACAGGGAGTTTTGTTGTGCTAAATTTCCTTAATCACATATATGCCAGGAGTTCACATATGAAACAGGATGCTAAACAGGAAGAGGTCATCACAGATAGAATGAAACATCTTTCTCTTCTTTTCCAACTGTGCTCTAAAGTGTGTAAAATTATGCATATAACAGTATGAGATTAAAGTTAAATCTTAGAATTTATAAATTAGTATGTGTATCAAAGTTCGCTAACTACATGCATTATGCATTTATTCTTTAGTCTATTTTTCCCTCTGAACAAGAGCCAGTTGGTCTAGTGCAGTGGTGGGTTGCCCCCGGTTCGGACCGGTTCGCAAGAACCGGTAGTAAAACCGGCGGGAGACTCCGCCCACTGAGCGGACATTATCATAGGTGATCTGCACATGCGCAGAAGCTTTTGCGCATGCGCAGAAGCGCGTGTGTGTGCTGCAAATCAGTAATAAAGGTAAGTAGAACCCACCCCTGGTCAAGTGGTTAAGGCACCAGGTTAGAAACTAGTAGATTATGAGTTCCAGTCCTGTTTTAGGCGTTAAAGTTGGCTGGGTGACCTTGGATTAGTCACTTTCTCTCCACTGATGTCCTCAGACTCAGATAATAGATTGGTTGGTCAATTCTTATCGTAACCAATGGATCAATACGAGGCTAATCTGAAAAAAAAGCAGACCCTTCACTTTTAGGAAAAAAAGCTAGGAAGGAAAAAATCTCTCTGCAAGAGCATTAACTATTCCATACATCGACGAAAACAGAAATCAAAGCCCATCAAGTCCCACAATAGGCTTCTAATCTCAATTATACAATCTATTCTTTGATATTCACAGAATATCCTAGTTCTCAAAAATCACTTAAAGTGTAATAGAAGAGTATTGTTTGATTTAATCTGACAATCCAGCAGGTCCAAGTTAAGCTCACAATAGGATTTATCTTTTATTCATTTATACTCTCAATTGCTATTCTGTTAGTGTATAAATAACATCATAGAGAGTGCAAAAAAGGAATAATAAATAATAAAAGCATGCAATAAGGAAGGAAATAAAGCTAAAGCTAATTTACAAGAACACCATTAAATACACCCAAATCTTGAATTCCAACCTCATGAAGCTAACCTTGGTTTTATTACCTACTTTCAACTTAACAACAGTGAACACCACAAGTCACCAGAGCATCTATGGGATCTCCATATCATGTGAACATAATCAAATCCCAAACATGTACTATACATGTCAATGACACATTTGTCATCTTAAAAGAAAATCAAATTGGAAGCACACTTCGAACACTTAATTCCAGATGCCTAGAAATGAAGTTCACTAAGAAGATTGAGAAAGAAAAGAAACTCCCATTCCTTAACATCCTTGTCACCAACAGAACAGAAAAACAACAAACCTTGAATGTGTTGCAATTTCTGTAGTAACCACTCCACAAAATCAACTCACAAAATCAGTTACGTAAGTACTTCAGAAAAGCAGGACTTAACTACCTAATTCAAGAAGAACAACTACCTCCAATTTAATTTTAAAAGTTATTTAGGAATCAAAACAAAAAACAGATAGACTTCCTTCAAGAACTACAACTATCTGAGGAGCACTGGTGGCACAATGGTTAGAATGTAGTATTGTAGGCAAACTGCCCACAGCCTGGAGTTTGATCCTGACGGGCTCAAGGTTGACTCACCCTTCCAAATTCAGTAAAATGAGGACCCACATTGTTGGAGGAAATATGCCGACATTGTAAATTCCCCAGAGAGTGCTATAAAGCACTATGGGGCAGTATGTAACTCTAAATTATGCTATCTTGTTATTGCTATCTATTTATTTAAAACCTATAGCTGCCCATATTATATCAAAAATCATATTCCAGCTTCTGATGCTGACGTTCCGCCTTACATATGTAATATATATGATGCTAGATAGATAGAAAGTATTGTATAACCAATAACTGAGTTAATTATCAAATATTACCAATAGAACCCTAATCTTGCACCATAAATCTTTTGAAAAGGGATGGTTTTTAGCTGATATGATCTGCCATCAATATATTAAAAAAACAATTTCCCTGCAGAATTAGGCAATTTCTAAATGTTATTTCTTTTTTTAAATTCAAAAATTTTACTTCAAGCAATTCAAAATTATATGTTCTCTTCTTCAAAGCTTCTTCATTCTCATTCTCATTCTCTTCTTCATTCTCATTCTCTTCATTCTCATACTATAAGTCATTTGTAGACAAACCTGCCAATAAAATCATCCTTTTTGCCAGCATCTCTGTCCCATACTGTAATATCAACAATTCCACCTCGTTCCTCATAAAGATGTAAGTCAAATTGTTCTCTCCACCTGGGATTCAAAGTTTTTGACATTATCTAGAGAAAAAATTAAAAAAAGAAATATTTCTGATGCATTTTATCTCTAAGAACAACAAAACAGAATTTTGATTATTTTAATAGTTATACATTTACCTACTTAGTTTTGTATGTAAATATTAGTTGTCTGCTGGATAACAGGAAATATAATATTTACCCACATTTATTAAAATGTTCACTGAGAAACATGTTAAAATTTTCTCAAAACAGAGCTTCCGGTTTGCTGCTTGTCCCCGCTGGACACTCCTCCGGGATCGTCGAACCCACTGCCTGTAAGAGCCGCCTTTTTCAGCGGAATGGCGGCTCGAAAAAACTCCGTTTCCATTAGGAAACGGAGATAGAGCCGGCTGGGGTGGGTAGAGTCCTCTGCCTAATCCCAAAAGTTTTTTATTTACTTTTGGGAGGGAGCGGAAGAGACTCCCCGTATCCCCAGCCGATGCTCCGGGCTCTGGGAAATCTCTGCTACACGCAGAGCTAGGGGGCAAAAGCAAGCCTGTAAATCTGTCAAATAAATTAATTAAAGAAGATATGAGCTGGACCTCTGATCCTGAAGCGCAAGTATTCTTTTTATTCTATTTTGCCTAAGAAGTGAAGTGAAGGGAAAAAAGCTTTTTTTAAAATGGCGATTGCTGCTGCGGCTTGAAGAGAGGCTGAAAGGGAAACTCCTTCCGTTTTTAATTACAAAGTAGCGGAATGAATACTTTTGGCTGTAACTGAAGGCAAAATCTCACTCTCATTTCGGGTTTTTTTTCTTTTTTTTTTTTTCTTTCTCTTTGAGGATCTGATATTGATCTTGGTTGGAAAAAAGTTTTTTTTTCTCTCTTTTCCAGTAAATTTTGTCTGCGTGGAAAAATGGCACTGAGATTTATAAAACTAGACAAACAGGCAGTGGGGGGGGGGATTCCCCCATTAATAAATTACATCAACAAGTTTTAACTCTCCAGTCACAGAAACCTGACTTTAATATAATAGAATTTCTTCTTGAGGAGATTGTAAGAAGGGATGAGATTGTGAATCAGCAACTTGAAAAATTTAAGTTGGAAATCAAAGAAATTGGTGAATTGGTGAAATCTAAGTTTGGTTTTCTGGATCGAAAGATTTTAAAAGTAGCTAATGGCTTAGCAGACTTTATGACTCAGTTGGAAGCAAATACTAACTCTAAAATGAAAGAAACTGAGGACAATTTGGATGACAAGATCCAAAAAATTAAAAAGGATTTGGCAAACATTCAGGATAATAGTTCAGAAGACAAACTTAAAATGGAGGCTGATCAAAAGACTGTTATTGAAGAAAATGTACAACAGAGGATTGAAAGAGAAGTTTTAATGATCCAATACAATTTTACAGAATATGCAATTAGACTGAGAGGTTTGCAGGAAGATGACAGAGATGATTTAAGGAAGATATCTTCTGAAATTCTGGCTGGAATTTTAAAGGTTCAACCTGATGAAGTGTTTTGCAGGATTGACAGAATTTATAGAATAAACTCCTGGTTGGCAAAACAAAGGCAATTGCCTAGAGATGTGGTGATTTATTTTACAGACAAAGAAATTAGAAATAATATTGTCCAGAATTCTTATGATTCTGCTTTGCAATTTCGTGGAAGAAAGATTTGGATTTTTAAGGAACTCCCGCCCAAGATGTTAATGGAGAGGAAGAAATTTGGTTTTCTAGTGAATGAGTTAAAAAAAAGGAATATTCTATTTAGGTGGGACGTCCCAGTTGGTTTAATATTGAGACACCAAGGAGTAAGATACCAACTGGATACTGTTGAAAAAGCGGAAGAATTTTATCAAAAAATTTTAAAAATAAATTTAACATCTTTAGGCATAACACAGGACAAGCAAAAGGAGTTGGAAATAAAGGGAAAACATCAAATTACAGAGGCTGTGGTAGATAAACTGTCTTTGGACTCCTTGGATACCCCAGCTGGACTGTCTATAAATTTGAGAGTAGTGTCATCTGATTCTAATGTGATTAACTATCAACTTACAAACAAGTGCGTAAATCAACCAGTTGATATACAAGTGAAGGAAAAGACATATGGGATAATAAAACAAAACCAACAAGATCAATTTACAAAGCAGAATGACAACCGATCAGCTGATACACAACTTGTAGGAAGGAAATCTGGATGGAAATGCAACCCGCAAAAGAAAAAGAAAAGAAACAGATTTCGTAGAAATAGTAGTTTCTAAATCAAGCAACAGTGAAGCCAGGGATTTTAAAAAAATAAATGAACATGTGAAAAGATATTGGAGGCGAATTATCGTTTAATACTATCTTGAGGAAAGTGGCAGATCTCTGCAATGCCGTGATTTTGGGATGTGGAAAGAGCCTTACATTGTTGGATTTGAACTATCTATTTTGGATTTCTTTTACCGATAAATATATTATATCTATTTTGAGTTACAAGGCAAGAGAGTCATGCTGGGGCATGCAGAAGATCTGGCTGTTACCCACAAAGATGATGGGGATTTATAATCCTGATGAAAACCACAATTACAACTATATGGAATATAATTATAATGTCACTCGGGTGGTTGTTTTTATTTTTATATATACATGAGGATATTTATTATTGATGGGGGCAGAAGATGACTGAAGATTTTGAATAAACTGTTGCACCAGGATGCTATGTTACCCTATTATGGATGATGGATTTAACAATCTAGTGGAAAGACATCAAAGAAGATACTAAATGAATTATAAATTTAAAGTTATTGTCTTTTTTTATAAAATGGAATGTATATATAGACATATGTATATTTTAGTAGAGTGGGCAGTGGATTATATTTAGAATTGTAGTGTATGGTAATCTTGCAGGAAACTGGGTTGAAATAGGCTAGTTTAGTGATTGATTAGTTTAAGAAAAAGGATTTTTAAGACATATATTTTGGGGAGTGGAAGAATCGGATAGAACTGAACAAATGTTAAATTTGGAGAAGGCTGCTTTGAAATGTTAAATTAATATATATAATATATATAAAAGTAAAGGTTATGTTGTTGTAATAATAATAATATTTTATAAGTTTGGGGGAGGAGAAAAAGGGTAGATTATTGCGAAAAGCGGAGAAAAGCGGAGTTATAAGAATACTTTGCTAAGGGTCAGTACTTTGAGGAGTGAGTAAGGGCATGGTAAAATATTATGTAATTAATTATGAATTAGCTTATTGTTGTGAAGAAGAAGTCACAGGGGGGGATGGGTGGTGAGGGGGGGTTAGGGAAGAAGGGAGGAAAAGGGGGAAAAACTTGTATTTGAAAAACTTTTTCAATAAAAAAAAAAAATTCTCAAAACACACAAAAAGTATGAAGATTATAACAAGACATTATTTATAGTTTTAGCACATTTTCCTTTTACATCACAAAAGAACTGATATGAGTTTCTAGTTTTTAGTTTCTAGTTTCTCCTTCAAACTCTTAAAATAGATTTTTTTTCTTGCTTAAAGACCCAGACAGATGAAACAGATTTTACACCTTTTTCAATATGAAATTCATAAAAATTTAATTTCTTTTCTCAATGCTTTTCTTTCCTTTAAAAAATCCTATAATAAAAAGAACTGAATTATTAAAAACAAACATTACATAAAAATAAGACATTCCTCATTCAATTCTTTAAAGCTACATAAAATGTATCATTTAATTTAGTAAGAGTTTTTATTCCTGACCAAAACAGTATCTGAGACAGGAGCACAGTTCACACACACACCCATCACGTGACCATATTTTGAAACATTGGCAACCTGTCTGCATTTATGATAAGTTGCCAAGTGCTCTGCAATCATGTGATCACAATTTGCAATTTTCTCTGCTGTCTTCCCCAGAAAGTTAATGGGGAAGACAGCAGAGGATGTTGACAGTAGAGGGGGATTTGAGGTCCGTTACCCTGCATGCCAAGTAATTTCCCCTCCCTCTATGCAGGCAAGTGAAATCCTCCTGCATGCTGGAGGAACAGACCTCAAATCTTGGAAAAATGCTAGTGAAGGCCAGCATTCCAAGTCTTCCAGAACACTGACATCTGATAGTGTTTTTACCAGATTTGAGGTCTGCTTCTCCAGGGCACTAAGGGATTTCCAAATCTAGCAAAAAAAGCTTGCAAATACCATCTTTCTCACAATTGTTCTTTCTAGTATCTGGGGATCATTGTTCGCAAGGTTTATTTTCCAAACTTTACATTACCTTTGGTGTTATCCTTTGCACTTTTTCAGTTTCTTCAGCATCCTTCTTCTACTTCTTGTTGCAGAACATTTATCTATATTTTGTGGAATATAGCCTAATGCTCAAGTATCTGATTAAGCCCAGGTCTAAAATCATATGATCGTATTCTGAGGTTTGATTTAGTAAATCACTAGCTTTAAATCGAGAGTTCCAAACATTGCATAGTATTAAGGCTAATCAACATTTCACTATTTTTTAATATTGTATAATAACATAATAATTAAGACATGCAAATAGAATAGAAGGACTGTGGCAAAAAAAGCAAAGGTAGTACCAATAGCAATAGTTGCCTTGGGTGCAATTCCAAAACAACTGGACACAATCGACATTGACAAAATTACCACCAGTCAATTGCAAAAGTGGCTTTACTCAGAACAGCTTACATCTTATAACAATATCTGTAACACCATCAAACATCCACATCTGCCTATCCCAGGCCCTTAGGAAGGACACAATAGGTGGATAAAAATGCCAAATCCAGTCTGAACATCTGGCTGACCCTGTGATGAACTATAATAGTCAAATAATAATTTCGACAAAAAAAATGCTGAAGTTACATTTAAAAAATTCTACTAGGCTCTAAAAAATAGTTTAAGAAAATCAAAAGTTACCTTACTCTTGTACTTCTGATGTCCCAGCCGAAATTTCACATAGGGATCACTCAGCCCATTTGAGTCCATGGCTTTGAGTCCACAACCTTCAATTAAAGTGATACTGACTATTCCTCTCCATAGCTGAGCTTTTTTGTGCAGGTCCGACAGACGTATACTCTGGGTCTGAAACTTCAGGCACAGAGAGAACTCTCATTTATTAAATCAGAAGCAAACAATAATGATTATTTTAAGAAAATAGGAAAGGTAGAAAAATGTCTTAATATTTAGGAACTTCTTTGATGAATGGTTATTGATGAAAACAAGATTTTAGAATAACAAGAAACAACTGTATCTTAGTCTTTAGTATTACTCCACTTTTGGAAAAAAAATGAAAAAATGGAATGGTGATTATATATACAGGTAAGTCTTTGATTAATGGGCAATTTGTTCTATGGCAAACAAAGATTTATTTGAAAGTTCTTAGATGTTTGCAACTCACAGCTATAATGTACTTGACTTGCAATAAAAATGCACACTTTAATCTTTTATAAATCATTTTAGCAATCTCTCAACTTTTCAAATACACTAAACTCAGTAAATTTACTTCTACTTTTATTATCTTTCTAATAATGAAGAATAATTGATAATATTGCATTGCTTGCAATTACCCCTAAATCTTATTGTCACTATAATTTATATCCAACAGTTATTCAAAGCATGTCAAGATTTAAGAAAAACTACAAAGCACTTTTAAAGCTAGGAAACAAAAAAAGAAAAGAAAAAGAAAATACCAAGAGTTTCTTTTTTAAAATAATTGCAAGCAAAGAGTGAGATTAATTTAAAAGCTACCTTGATACTATATAGTTTGAAAGAAAAATAAGACATCTGAAATAAAATAGAACTCATGTAAAATAATGGTTTGTACATATCTGGGGAAATATTCTGGGCATACATTGAAAATTAAAATAAAACCTTTTAAACAAAATTTTAATTTAACTGCCTGAAAAGGATATTTACAAATTAGCATCAGCATTTAACCTAAGGAGCATGGCAACTATCCATAACAAGATTCCACAACAAAGAATTCAGAACAAAATACGGTATCCATAATATCTGACAGAAATCCTTATTGTGTGAATAGAACATATCTGATATTCATGAATAAGGATTACCCTCATTGTCTCTACTGGCTCTTGAACATTTACTCCTATACAAGCTTATATAAGGAAAAATAAAAAGCATAAACAACACATTAGGTGAATAAAGGTCCATTTTAATATCAACTCTTTGTGTTTTTCTTCTCATCCATTTGAGAAATCATTTTTGTTGATAATTGACTTCTTGTTACACTCTCTAACTTGAATTATTTCTTAATCCCAGTGCACTGATACAAAGACATTTTAAGATTTATTTTCTCATCTTATTTTATCTAAATAAGCATCAGTTCAAAATATTTTGTGACAAAATACAATACTACAACAATGTCAATTCTTCCATGTCTTTACAATCAGCTAACCATTCTTTTCGATTAATATGGATATTATTTTGAAGAGGTTTTATATCTGAGGAATCATGGATGGATGAAGAATAGAACAGCTAATCTATGATGATTGAAAAAGGTCAATGTTATCCTATTTTTAAAAAAGGAACAAAAGGAATATCTAGTAACTATCGGACAATCAGTGTTGTAACTCTGGCCCCGGAGGCTGATTTATCTCTGCATGCTGATTCGGAGGATGATATGGAGGAGGAGGAAGCTGTCACGAGCTATGTGCCCGAGGGTCTGTCTTCACTGGTGAGTCAGCAAGAACTGACAGTTGCTGATGTGCTTATGGACCCCAGCCAAATTGAGGAGGAAACAGAGGCCAGTAACGACGAGGGGGAGCCCCTATTGGATGCAAGAGAGAGACGTAGGAGATGTCGTAGAGAACAGCTATTGCCACGTCCTAAGAGGTGTGGTCAGGAGACATAGAGCCACACCCTACAAAGTATAAAAGGGGTGTGACTGGGCTGGAAAGGCGTGGTGAACAATTTGTTGGCGTATTGGATGCAGTGGAGTTACAACTGTTAGTTTGGAGTTTTTTACAAGAGTCTGCATTCCTGCATTAGCCTGCTGGCCGTCTGCCAAGACCTTTGGAACATTGCCCGGTAACTATTGGACTGATATACGCTTTGGAAGAGAACTATTAAAGGGCCAGCTTCAGTCTCTCTAACTTGTGTTTGTTACTGCCGGGCTATTTGAGCCTCTGCAAGGCCACTTGTGGGAGGGGACAGAACAATCAGTCTGCTGTCAGTACCTGGAAAGATTCTACATAAAACAATGCAGTACCATATTTTTCGGACTATAACCGTGATGGCGAACCTAGGACACCCGTGCCACAGGTGGCACACGTAGCCATATCGGTGGGCACGCGAGCTCTGTTCTGCCAGCTGATTTTCGGGCCTTCTGGGCCCACCAGAAGTAGGGAAACAGGCTGTTTCCTGCCTCCAGAGGACCTTAGGGGATGGTGGCAAAGGCCTGTTTTTCTCTCTCCCCAGCCACCAGAGCCTTTCTTGAAGTCTAGGGAGAGCGAAAATGGCCTTCCCCCCACCCGGAAGCCAAATGGCCCGTTTGCCAACTTCCAGTGGGACCGGAATTTGGCAAAAGGGCTGTTTTCAGCCTCTGGAGGACCTCCGGGGTGGGGAAGGCCATTTTCGCCCTCCCCAGACTCCTAGAAAGGCTCTGGCGGCTGGGGAGATCAAAAAATGGGCCTACTGTACCATTGCATGCCAGGAGCAGGGGAGCGGGGGGTCATGCACACATGCGTGGGGGGATGGTGCATAGAATTATGGGTGTGGGCACGCACGTGTGACACACACACCCAGCTCCTGGCACACGATGGCAAAAACGTTAGCCATCACTAGACTATAAGATGTTCCAGACTATAAGATGCATGTAGCTTTTGGGGAGGAAAACAAGAAAAAAATTCTGTGTCTGCCTCCCACCAATTTGCCTCCTTGCAGCAAAGCTGGGTCAGCTTCAGCACAGCCTGATTTAGCACAAGCAGCTGATTGTCGGTTGGATCGGCCTCCCAGAATACAGATGATCAGCTGTTCCATGCTGCGGGGATCGCCGTTGCCTATCGCTGGCCTGTATGCCCCATTTTTTGCCTCGAAGTGCCCCATTTTCTACCTGTCACGAGTGTTTCCAGGATTGCTGTGGCTATCTGCCTACTCACAAACAGTATGGTTTTAATCAAGCCATCTGCTGTTGCCAATTACCTGCAAGCCTTCCCCGCCCTAGTTAATTGCAGGTTCACTCCTTATATAAGCAAGGACCTTTTGCTTGCTACCCGGGCCTAGTCTGATCTAGGCCTAAATGCACAGCTCCTGCAGGAAGCTTGTTGCAACGCCGCAGATGGGAGAAGAATGCAGATAAGGACTCCAGACGCCACTACAGAGAGACTCCCACGGATGCTTGCCTTTTGCTGTTTTGTAGCATGCAAGCTATCATCGGGACTGCTGTTGCTGGACCTTCTTCCTCCCACAAGCTTCAAGCAATGTTTGCTTTTTGAACTGTTTTTACTTCAGGTGACTTTCAGCTGTGAAGCTCGTGCTGCTCCCATTATGATTGCCTTGATGATGTATCGACGCCGAAGCTGCTTACCTTCATGCTAGCTTTACTCTTTCGTGAACTGTTTTGGTATTGTGGAGAGGGATCTAGGGAGATAGCCTTGTTTCACATACCCAGATAAGACTTTGTTTTTAATGTGTTTTCTTAAAGACATAGTGCTTTTTAAATGTTTTAAAGTAAATTATATTTTTACACAAGACGCCTCTGTCAGAATCATTTCAGTCTCAGTGTGTTTACTCATGAGCTGGTTCACGGTCCGGGGTACCCCTCAACCCCATTTCCTCACACTACCTCTGTGCGTCCCATTTTTGGCCTCCGCACACCCCATTTTTGGCCTCTGTGCATCCCGTTTTCAGCCTGTTCCAGGCAGCATGGATTGCTGCCACTGCCTATCACCGCCAAACGGGACACATGGAAAATGGGACATGCGGAGGCCGAAAATGGGGCACGCAGAGGCCAAAAATGAGATGTGAAGAGGCCAAAAATGGGGCGCTCGGAGGTGGTGATAGGCGGAGGTGATCCCCACAGACTGGAACAGCTGATCGTCAGTATTCCGGGAGGCCAATCCAACCGACAATCAGCTGCTCATGCTAAATCAGGCTGTGCTGAAGCTGATCAGGCTGTTTGTTGCAAGGATGCAAATTGCTTGGAGGCAGAGGCCGAAGGGTGGGGGCTGGCGGGTGGGCAAGGCATCAGCAACATTCGCTCTATAAGATGTACAGACATTTCCACCCACATTTTGGGGGGGGGAAGTGCATTTTATAATCCGATAAATAAAGTAATTGCTGGAAATCAGCACACAGTACCTCAAGAACAAGTCTTGCCATACCAATTTTATCTCACTTTTAAAATTGGCTAACTATAAATTGTAGGAGTGTCCTAGGCATAATATTTTGAATTCAGCAAAGTATTTCACAGAATACCCCACAAGCTAGTTAAATGAGAGCTAGCATAACAATCAAATCACTATATAGATGGTATAAAAATGTCTCTAAGGACTGGTCATCACAGATTTCTTGTTAAACTGGAGTCTAGTTAGTAATCCTAGGATTTTGAGGTAGTTCCCTCATTTAAATATTAACAAAGCTAACAATGTTTCATATCAGCTAAGATCATGGTGAAGCTGGGATGGGGTGAGTGCATCCATCCTGGTGCTCCTTGATTTCTCAAACAGTTTTTGATACTATTTGACCCTGGCTGTTGGGGTTAGGAGTCACTGTGTGGCAGTGATTAACCTCCTTCCCTGGGGTGAAATTCACTTACCTTCCCTACTGGTTTGCAAATGTGCGCACGCCGCACATTTTTAAATTATTTTAAATTATTTTATTTATTATTTTATTTATTTATTTATTATTTTCTGATTTTGTATCCAGAGTCTTTTGGAGTGGGCAGCCATAAACAATTTAAATAAATAAAAGTAATAATCAGGTAGATGCTAAAATTCTAGTCTAACATTGAACATTGAATTAAATATTGGAAAAAATAGTAGTTTGACAGTAAATCCAGTACACAAGAAAAATGGCATCTACACAGATCTGAAACAAAAGAAAACAAATTGTGAAAAGACACACTTTTGTTCTTTTATTGAATAGCCCGAAGGCCTTTTCAAAAAAAAAAAAAGAAAAAGATAAAACAAACAGTTAGAGAAATAACAGCCTAAATATATATATATGACATTTAAAATTTAACAATATCGAAGTTCAATAACTAGATTTCCAAAACTAGATAACCCAAATAAGATAGCTCCTCTCTAACTCAGTTCATCTTTCTTACAATCAATGAAATTCTTTTCGATATAACTGGCTCGTATTGCTGTCATCCTTTTAAGATAGCGAGTGATAGCCCTTACCAGGGGAGGAGAGTCTGCCCTCAATAGAAATGATAATTTATGCCTTACATTCCAGTGGGGAAATTTATTTATAATTGGGGACAGATATTGTTTTCTTACTTCCTCATACAACCTACATTCAAAAATTATATGTGCCATAACTTCCACAACCTTTGCCCCATACATGTTCTTTCGTCATACAGGATTTTCCGGTAACGGCCGAATTTGACGTTGGTATCTAAAAGTTCAAATCTAAACTTGACAAATAGCTCTCTCTCCACTGATGGCATTTCTAGATGTAAATATTTTTCCAGGGTAAAAATTGTTTTAACTGCTGTCAGAAGCTTAAGGGAGTGATTAGTTGAAAGAGTTGCCATGTCCATTTGCCCATCTATATCTTTAATCCGTTGTTTAACTTGCTTCAGTGTGTCATACAACGGGAACCCTACGCCATATCGATTCAATATTTCTGACAGCAGAGTTAGCCAGGAATACCTTTGAGGATTTGGAATCTGCTGTTCCTCTAGGCAGATTTTGGGAAGTCTGCTGGCTTCCATCTGAGTCATTTTTAGCCAGTAGGCTACCGCCCTAGTAATTGTGTAGGTGTGCAGTGAAAAATGTCCTAATTCAGCTCTGACAGCTGCCGCCGAAGTGGAATTGTTTACCCCCAGCATCCTCCTTAACAAATTATTTTGAGTTCTCTCCAATATGGAGGCCTCTGTAAGACCCCAGATTTCGGCACCATAGAACATAATCGGAACAAGTTTAGCCTGAAAGACTTTACGAATTGGTACACTTTTGTGAAAAGGTGACTTTTCAGCAAAACAAAACACAGTTCAAAATAAATTGTCTGAGATATTGGAGCCGATATTTGTGAAGTTCAAGTGCATAAATATTTAGCTGCCATAAATTATTTTTGCAGGTTATTTCAAGATTGTAACCAGAACTAATCTACCAAATCTTATTACTTGCTCAAAAAATACAACAAGTACATGATGATATCCTGATGAATTCCTAAATTGATAATGCTGCATAATGGTTTATATTCTTTGCATGGAAGTATAACTTTAGTAATGTTATAAAGAGCCCATACTATTCACAAGTCAATGCAAAAGCAGAAAAAGCTGTTCAAATTGCAAACTGAATTTGAGAACAGAAAAATTCCTTCTTAGATATATTAAATCACACAGCAACTCTCACTCATGTTCCAAATATTACCCAGCACAATTATTCATGGATAATTAGCTATGAATCTTTTTCTCTAATACTAAAAACAAATATGTATTTTTATTGGTCTTATTTCAAGAAAGGCACTGTATCAGATGCAAAAGCAAAAAACAACCGCCTACAAATTCAATAATGACAACAATTACTGTGTGGTCACCTCACCAGAATTGGATCCCAAATAAAAATTAAATAATAAGAAGGAATGGTAAGAAACAGCAAATATTTAGGAACAATTGTCAGATACCTCATCCTACCTTCTAACACTAGTAAGAGAATAATACAGCTATATCTAGAAAGGCAAACGCTATTCTATTCATAGGAACATACACAAACAGGATGAAGTGACATACGATTGCTAACAGATAAGACCTCTAACATAAACTTGTTCCAAATGATAACAAACAACTACCAGTGTTATATTCTCGTTCCTTATTTTTAGCATGGAATTTATGATTTCTAGAAGCAAAATGTTCTAGAACGTAACTTTATGTATCTATACAGGGCAGGGGTGGTATTCACTTACCTTTGCTACCGATTCGCAAATGTGAGCGTGCATGCGCGCTCGCTTCACTCGTGCACGACACCTCCGCACATGCGCAGGACTTTCTGCACATGCATAGAGCGTCAAAAACGGGACATGATGACATACAGGCGGGTGGACAAAGCCTCCCGCAGCCGCTGCTACAGTTCACCCAAACTGGATAGAACCAGCTGAATACCACCACTGATACAGGGCGAAAATAGCAATTATTTCTAATGGCAAAATAATGGCTGGTGCTGTCAGAAGTGATTAACAGTTTATTTATCATATTAGTGTCAGAATTATAAAAAATTAGGGGATTTTGTTGTGTATTTAATTCAGTTTATGATTTAAAGGAGGGAAAATATAGTGAAGCACTATAATAATGAGGAGGCAACAATATTTTATTGTTACAGTAGGTATAGTGAAACTTAAAAAGATGCTACAGCATCTACTGTGGGAGCCAGTTTACTATAAAAAACCTTAGTGTAAACATTTTATATGTTTTAAAAATAAATTATTGAAGAATATGAGGTAGATTATACAGGGACAAATGGATATAAAACATCTTGGAGCATGTAGCAAGCAGTGAGGACAAAGCTCCATTCTACATTTCTTGTCTACTATTAAAATATATGTAACATATATTTTAATAGTAGATAATATAATAATAACTGTTAATATAACAGTTGCGTACATATCTGTATTTCAAAAAAAGAATAGAAATATTCTGTTTCTCAAAATAGAAACATTTATATTACCTATTAAATAGTGTATTTTGTCATTCCCAAAACTGCAGGAAGGCAAAGCTTGTGACTAAAGCATGTACATATTCATACACATGATTAAGAAAATGTATATTTTATAGTTGTACTTCACATTTTTTAGATTTGTCATATAATTATGATAAATGTAATATATAAATAGAGATGAAATATATATGCATAATATATGAATAGATACTGATATATACTTTTAACTACACTTATATGCATTCAAATGCATTCTGAATGCATTTATTTATTTAATATTCTGCCTTTATTATTTTTCTAAGTATCTCCTGGTGGCAAGCATACCTAATACACCTTCCTCCTCTTATTTTCCTCACAACAGCAACCCTGTGAGGTGAGTTGGGCCAAGAAAAAATGACTGGTCCGAAGTCATTGATCTGGCTTTCATGCTTAAGGCAGGACTAAAATTCACAGTCATCTGGTTTCTAGTCTGGTTTCTAGCCTTAACTACTGAACCAACTTATATCAGCTATTACCAAAGTATATATAAATTTTTTTTTCAGTAATTAAAGGACCATTCCATTGTCATGATTATACAACAGAAAATAATAAAATAATAAAATTTACAGAGAATAAGCTACGTCACAGCCTGAAGTTCAACGTGATAAATTATAAAATATCAGTTATTTCAAGGCTACATGCCAAGAATTACCTTACTTGTTCTTTTCCAACTCTTCCTCATTAGCACTGTCTGCAAATAAAATAGAGCATTTTAATCACCTTTTACTTGTTCATAAAGGCCAACCGCCTTCTAAATTAGTAATGCACATGACAAAACATCAGACAAATTTTAAAAAAATAAAGACAGAAATCAAACAGCCACAAACATTCACATTGAAACACAATTACGATTTAAGCTCCTATTATTTAATGAAGAAATTGTATATGGTAACCTGAAGATGTATTGAAGATCTCAAAAAGAACAAGAAATGAAAATTATCTGGAAGTAGGAGCATTCTAGTTCATCCTACTCTTTCACAGAGCACAAGATATATAGAAATTGAAGATCTCATTCAGCAATATGAGAGAGAAATCTCCAATATAACAAATTCTTATGATAGACATCCACATACAAAGAAAGATCAGTTTTGAACAGGTATGAGCTGTGGTAGCACAGTGGTTAGAATGCAGTATTGCAGGCTAACTCTGCTCACATTGCCAAGAGTGAGCTAGCCAGCTCAAGGTTGACTCAGCCTTCCATCCTTCAGAGGTCAGTAAAATGAAGACCCAGATTGCTGGGGGCAATATGCTGACTCTGTAAATCACTTAAAGAGTGCTATAAAGCACTTTTAAGCAGTATATAAGTCTAAGTGCTATTGCTATTTGTTTATTAAATAATCAGGGTGTTTATTTGAATTAGATTATTTAAAAAATAATTTTTAAAAATTCATGCACTATGGTCTTATGCTTAATTTTTAAAAAGGAATTTTTAAAGAAAATGCCTTAACACTAATTTAATAGTCAATCCTGAAAGGCTTCATGGATACAGCTGTCTTTTGACATGCATTTTACAATAAGAAAATTTCAGTGGAAGTGTAAAAGCTGGAGAGACTTGGTATCACCTTTTTTTGTGAATGTAACAAACCACCCTGGCATTGCTTTTCAAAGGCCCAAACTACTAGGAGTTCCTGATGTTATGCTGCTATGCACCTAATCAACTAGGTCCCCAAGTAGCATCCCAAAATGTAGAGCAGTTGGAAGATTGTTGAAGAGCATCTGAAGATAGAAGACTGATTCCCTGATAGTGGAGAATGATCTCAGCCAAAGCTATGCACACAGGTGTGAAAAACTGCACTTTGATCCCAAGATCAAAGTGATACTACAGGAGTCTCTTGATTTAGGGAGTTTTTCTTTACAAATAATAACTGTAGTTAAGATTATAGTCATGAAGTCTGCATGAAGAACAAGTATAAATATAAGCTGATATCTGAACCTGCATTTTTTTAGTATTACAGTATACTCCAGTGTACTACTCCAGTGAGCCAGTATGCATTAATCAAGACCAATAAAGACTTGATGTGTAGGACAATATTTAGCCCTGGAAGAAAGCAGCAGTTAACAAGAGGTCATGGAACCAAGAGAAACTAGGGACTGTCATTTTCCAAATGCAGGATCAATATAATGGGATTTCCTTTTATCATTAAAATCCTGGAGCAAGAGAAGAGCTTTGTTTCTGGTGTAGAGAACAAGATCTCGGTGCACTTAATTACAGATTTCTTCCTTTAAAACTGAAACCCAAATCTGAATGGACAACAGAATTGTAGGCAGGATTGAAGATGGAAGAAACCGGCAGGGTAAAAGATCCACAAATACAGGGCTCAGTATTTGCAGTAGAGGTCTTTTCGTTTTATTTAAACTTGGTCATAGATTTTGGTGGGATGTTGTTTCAGCAAATTTAGCAAACGTTGATGATTTACAAAGTTTTTTTCCTTGTGCCAACAACAAAATTGCAGAATCCAGGGAATTCCCAAAGAAATGAGGATGCACCAGAAGTCCCGTGTCACATTTCAAACATTGTAGAAACATTGGATGAAGAAAGGGACAAGTATTTCTATATGTGGGCAATTAGAACAATAGAATTTTCTTCAAAATCATAAATCCAGCCCAAACTTGTAATATTTTGATCAGACAGATTTATAGTATATAAGAACAAGCAGCAAGAGAATGTTATCCAAACATAAAATTATCAAAATTTAAGGCAGCAATAAAAAGGAAATCTTCACAGAAGGAACTGACAAATATTATCACAACCACATTATTCTAGCAGCACTAAATGAACCAAATTTTTATTCAACCTTGATGGTCCTTGCCTGATCTAGTTTTCTCACAGATTAATCTTGCTAGCATATCTCAGAATTCCACTGCAATTATGTCTTCAGTTGTTATCCAGATGTTTGAGGCCTGAGTGAAGGAGACACTAAGTCAAAGTCATAGGAGCAGAGTACAGTTGGTTGCTCTCTGTATTTCTTTGTTAGGCCTTTATACCACCAGATTTACCTCTGGCAAAGCTTCTTCCTGATCTTAGGAGGGTTGGTGAAACACCTCATGACAAGACACTATTATAAACTCAGCATCTCCCACCACTGTTTACCTCAAAGGGCAAACTCACATAGGCAAAAAAAAAGGAATTATATTGGTACTTATGAAAGTTTATTATAAATCCTCTCTCAATGCAAGAAAAGCAATAGTTGTTTTAGTACAGCACAATGGAGTCTTTAGAGCCATAGAAACAAAGTTTATTTATTTATTTATTTATTCATTAAATTTTTATACCGCCCTTCTCCCAAAGGACTCAGGGCGGTGTACAGCCATATTAAAACAACATATACCCACAAAATTTAAAAACAGTTTAAAATGTATTAAAAATTTGGCCCTTATATTAAAAACTACAAACACCCAATTAAAATTCATTTTCTAAGCCAGCCTGGCCTGTTGAAACAAAAGAGTCTTAAGGGCACGGCGAAAGGTACGTAGGTCGGGGATCATGCGAATCTCTGGGGGCAGTTCATTCCAGAGGGTAGGTGCCCCCACAGAGAAGGCTTTCCCCCTGGGTGCCGCTAGTCGACATTGTTTGGCCGACGGCACCCTGAGGAGTCCCTCTCTGTGGGAGCGTATTGGCCGGTGGAAGCCTATCGGTGGCAAAAGGCGATCTCGTACATACCCAGGTCCTAAGCCATGGAGCGCTTTAAAGGTGGCAACCAACACCTTGAATCTCACCCGGAAGACCACTGGGAGCCAGTGCAGCTCGTGCAGGAGAGGTGTTACATGGGTGTGCCGAGTCGCCCCCATAATCACCCGCGCGGCTGCATTCTGGACCAGTTGGAGCCTCCGAGTGCTCTTCAAGGGGAGCCCCATGTAGAGAGCGTTACAGTAGTCCAGATTAAAAAAAAAAAAAAAAGCACATCCTCACTCACAGATGGTAATTTGGATTGGGAACTCTACTGTGAAGCAATGTAATCACAAAGTGTCATGTGACTGTACTGACTTATGATAGCGCTTCCAGCAGTTGCAATTACGGTCATTAGGCAAATCTCACATGGTCATAGCATCTCAGGATCACGTAATCATCCTTTGCAATCTTCTGGCGGTTTCCCATTGACTTTGCTTATTGGCAGCTGCGGTTAAGGTTGCAAATGCAATCGTGTGCTGCAAGATATTGCAAAGTCATAATTATGAGCCAGTTGCGAGGCACCTGAATCATGAACGTGGGACCTTAGGGACACAACCTGTTGTGCCAGCAGAGCTAGCAGCAGTCAGACGAGGAGGAGGGGGAGCCTGGGCCAGCTTCAGAGACTTTGGAAGGTTTTGACGAGGAAGCAGAATTAGAGCCGAGGTCTTCTGTCTACCCCCAGATGGAGAGGCAGCTGCCTTTGGGGCCTCAGCTAAGTGACCGGGAGGAATGGGGACCATCCCACATGTGCGTATGCGTAGAGAGGAGAGCAACGGATAGCAGTAAGCCGGCCTTCAGGGAACAGAAGTCGTAGATGCTAGCCAGCCCCTCCCTGGCTGGGAAATAAATAGTAGGGGTTTGAGTGTGGCCTGTTGTCACAGACAACCATTTGTTTTCCAGTGTACATCAATCAAGTCGGAGTCCTTTGCCAGAAGCAGGTTTGTCAGGACTAATTGCTCTGTATTTGAGGTGCCAACTGAATCTCCCTGCTGGAAAATAACAGGGAGTAAATTTGCCTCAGCCAGTGTGAACAGGGAATATTTCTGCTTGTCTTAATCATTGAAAGGATTTTCTATCTTGAGTTGTCATGTGAACAGAGACTGTTCTTGCCCTGTTTCAGAAGGAGAAAAGACTTTTGTTTGTGACTAATTACTTTTGGGGTTGTTTATCCAACGTGACAAGATTGTTCCTTCCCTGTTTGAATAAACAGGTTTATTTTACTCGTGAGTAAGTGGTTTCTCATTGCTTGCGATGGCTGGGTCAGAACACTATCATGGCTACAACTACAAGTACTAGTTGTAAGTACCCTTTGTTCAGAATGGTCATAATTTTGAATGGGTCAACGTTAAGCAAGAACTACCTGTACAAAAGCTTGTAGCCTTTGACCAAAAATTTCTCATGCATGAAAAATGCCAGTAAAACCTTGTTTTAATGAATTGGGAGACATTTTGGAAATAAGTTGAATAAATTGAAAACCTACATTATCACAGTAATGCAACTCATATCACTTAATTTACATGAGGACATTACAACAAATGCTGATATCATGAGGAAAATAATAGCAGGCAGCATGATGCTGGTATTACACTAAAACATCATTTGACTAATGCTACTATGCAAATTATGTAAGATGCAAATCATATAATTTGTGTAATTGTGATCACAACATCGTTACACAACTAGTGTAAATTACAAAGGACATGAAGATGTATATGAAGCTGCTTGCATTAAAGTTTGGAAGATCAAGGGTTTCTTTGAACATTAAATTAAATTAAAATTAAAGTATAACAAGATAAAGAGAAGTGAGAAGTGAAAATTCTAGAAGCATTGAGAGAATGAATTAATCAGTTGTGAGAATGAATTTGCTATACATATTCACTGCAGAAATTGAAAACAAACTGAAGAGATTCAACAAGAGTTGTTATCTATGCTATGAAGAATAAATAAATAAATTCTGTAAATTCTAGAAGGCTGCATGTTGTCATGATATGTGTGACTCATGGAGACCACATGAAGAATCTAAGCATCTACTCCCAAATATAGAAAAGTTTTTAAATATTTTTTAATTCTTAAAATAAATAAAAATCATTTTGAAAATATGTCACCTTTCTTAAACTATGAGAAGTTTGAATTGGTGTAGAGCAGTGGTTCTCAACCTGTGGGTCGGGACCCCTTTGGGGGTCGAACGACCCTTTCACAGGGGTCGCCTAAGACCATCTGAAAACACATATTTTCAATGGTCAATGGAATAATTTTATGGTTGGGGGTCACCACAACATGAGGAACTGTATTAAAGGGGTCGCGGCATTAGGAAGGTTGAGACCCACTGGTGTAGAGCAAACAAAAATTAGTTTTTTTCAGCTACCGGTATTCCATTAGTCAAATAGAACGTTTCTGTTCTCCCTTTTAGCACTTATTAAAACTCCATCATTAAGAATTTCTAGTTCCTAATCTAACACTTCAGCAATTCCATTCCATTCCATTCCCTACAATTCAAAATCTGTTACTCTTTTGCTTCTATGACCAGAGACAATATTCATAAAAAACATGATCTATAACGTTCTTGATATTGCAATTTTCCAAAATACATTAACATGTATTTGTTAAGATGGATTTGAAGTTAATCCATTTGAACTTTCATTAATTCATGAATACTTACACTTAAATCAAGTTTAATCAATGTATCTCTGTGAACATATACCAAGCATAATATTAATTTTAATTAATCCTTTTACAATGAAAGCTACTTTTAACCCAACAATAAATTAACATATAACCATTGTATCATATTATGCAACATAATATGGTCTACATTAAGTTTCTTTATGTCTCAGGCAACCATGCATTGGCTACTAGGCATTTTATATTTAGTATGAGATGTATGTTATTAAAAACATGTACATGACAAAAACTTGTAATGAAATGCCTTTCCATTCCACATGTTTTGAAGCGCTACAAACTCGCAATCTAATTCAATATTTTTATCCTATCTCTGATATTTTTCAATTTACCATTACAGCATGACTGGATTGTTGGTATGAGGTAATTAAAATATAATTTGTTTTGACAACATATAGGATAAATATCTGATGAAAATTCTTCCATACTGTAACTTTTTAATTCCAAATTACTGCAACAAAAAAGCTGACTAATTTTAAAAGTAGAATTATTTAAAGTATACAATGGCAGATATCTACTAATTTTTCACAGATAACAAAGAATGACGTTCCACAACCATTTTTTCTCTTCTAAAATTCTGCACAATTGTGAGAGTGATAAAATGGTACAGAAGTTAGGATATTGAATTATGATTAGAATGACCCAGAGTCCACATTCAAGTATATAGCCTCAGTAGGTGGCTTTGAGCTGGTCACTATCTCTCACCCTAATTGATCCTGTACCTTGACGATTGTGGGAGTAAAACAGAATAGGCAGAATTGTTTTGAATCTTGCTGAAGGGCTGTGTTTGGCATTTGCATGCCTCATTAGAAAAATATGTGGGTGAAGCAGAGTAGAAATCTGATTCCATTTAAATGTAACTCAGTTACATATAGAATTTAATAACTTCCCCTCATTCCGTCATATTAGAGATTTTAATTTGGTAACAACTTTTGGAAATTTTTCAGGGCTGTGCCCCAGACTTTTGCTGGTTCTCTCTCCTAGAGGAGAAGCAATAAAATATTGAATAACATTACCTAGGAAGAGATAGTTGGACTCATATTTCCAAATAATGTTTTTTCTGACATACCAGTTTAAAGATATTTACTTGTGAATACTTGAACAAGGAAAATTTGTTTTTTTTTTTTTTTATTCCAAGCATGACATTAGGTTGTTACCAATTCTTAATAAAGCAATTTTTGCTTCTGGCCTCTTTTTTGACCTTGCTTTTAAAAAACAGTGAGGCATTTCATTCTTTTTGTGAAATTGTTCACTATTGTTTCCTTAATGGCAAGGTTCACTGTAAATTGACCTTGAAAGCAAAGTCCTAGATTTGACTTTCTTTGTATATATTTCTTTGAAATATATTCTATATTAATTATATATTCTGTTCTATTAGCATCTCATTACAATTATATTAAATTGTCAAATCCATCACAAAAGCTTATCCCTAGCTGTAAATGTTTAGAATATGGTGTTCAATTGCATGCATTCATTTATATACACACTCAGAAAAAAATTACTCTCTTTTAATTAGCTTCTCTGACAGATACAAGTTCAGACATTTATAGGCCAATTAGAAACTTAGAAGTTCTGCTTATATGACTTATTTAGCATACACTTACCCCTTCCCTCTGCTGCTCTTTTGGGGTCAGCAACATGGTTAACAGTATAGTCCCAAGATCTTGGTCAGGATAATGTGAGTCCTTCAGACTCAATGTAACATCAATAGGCCTAGAAAAACAGGTCAATAGAAAAATGAAAACACTAAAATTGATGCTTCTACAGACTGCCTACCTCAGGACAAAGAGTTTAAGAAGTCATGAGTTATGTTTTCCTTTCTGTCACCTTCACTAAATAAACAATGAGGAATGTAAAGCAAGAACAAGGATTTTTGTAAACTTATGGATAAAGCTCTTAATGTATACCAAGGACTGTCGGACATTTTTAAATGACAGGAATACAATGTTCACACTATCCTAGATAAGAAACTTTGCTCAGTACAAACTTTTACTAAATACTTTAAAGTTTGGATATTTTTTCCTCATCCAAACTTTCAATATTTTGTAAAATCAATGTAAATAGGTAGTTCTTGAGTTACAATGGCAACTGGGAACAGAATTTCTGTCACTAAGTGATGTGATCACAAAATATGACATCATGCTTAACAATGCAATCCTAGCAATCCCTTTTGCTGTCATTAATTGAATTCTACTGGTCATTAGCCAAGGACCCACCATGATCCAAGCCATTCCCAGCTTGGTCCTTCCCAATTCCAAGCCTTGTTTGTTCCAAGGTAAGGGACTACCTCCACTTCAACTCCTCATTATCACCTGTTTCTTCTATCTCTGCAAGTGTTCAGACATATGTAGAAAATATCTGGGGCCATTTGGATGAGAATATGGTGGGCACTTACCACCACAAATATTTCCAGTCTGAAATGCTCCCAAAGTAGTTTAAAAGATGTAAAACCAAAAGAAAACTAGATGAGGAGGCAAGAGTTCCTAGTTCTTTTTTCATAAATTTATGATAATTCAACTCTAGTACTTTTAATTTAACCACAATTGGTAGTATAGCATTCAGCTGCTTTTTTTTTCTTTCTCTGTATCCCAAGTCACGTTGAAATAGAAAGAAATACATCATGAAATTCAATGAGTTTCATAAAATGATACCTATTTTGTTCTAGGGAATTCAGGTCCAAAAAAGCTGACCCCATGAAATCATCTTGAAGTCCAAAATCATAATCAAAAACCTAAGATGAACAAACAGCACTTTTATTATTAAAAACAGATTTCATAAACTTAACAAGCCAATGTTTACCCAAATAGATACATGAGGCATGCAATTATTAGACGATACTGCAAACTAATTGGTCTCAAAGTTCATGTACTCTTTTTATAAAATACACCTTTGAAGTTCTATTTTACTATTTCTTTTTCTGGCTGGCATAATTTCCCAAACATTAATCAAAGTTATGAAGACTTTATTTTATTGTATTCTGGAATATTTGATGACTATTACAATTTTAATAAGGATGTTGTATTGTGCCTTCTAACAATATTTTTGTAACAAGATTAAGCTATGAGATTAGTAAAATATACCATTATTGCTATTTTTAAGGAGAACTGGATGCGGCTTACCTTTATATATAGTTGCTCCCTTAAATGTTCAATAAGAATGGAAGTTCTTTCCTCCCAAACAGGATTAAGATTTTTACTGATTGTTTTACTTCTAAAGATTTCTTTTCCGCCAAGTTTAAATTTGACATATGGATCACTTGTTCCTGAAGCAAAAGTTAAGGTTATATATAAAAACTAGATGTTTTTGGAGCTCATAAAAGCAACAGTAAGCAGCTAGTTTTCTCTTTTTAGATCACTTGAGTAACAATTATTTTTAAAAGATTAAAATAAGAGTGAGATTGGATCAATTCTATACATTTATTTTCTTTGAAACTCAAGACTTGGTAATTCTAATATATGACAGGAAGGCTGTATATCATGTATTGGTTGTTACCATATGTTTATTATTTATTTATTATTTATTTTACTTGCTTTGTTATATATGCAGGTTCTATATACGGTGGATATCATGAAACTTCATCAGTGCTTTTATACTGTTTCTTTAAAATTAGCACTTAAAAATACTCCTGAAAAGGAGAATAAACTCGTACATTAACTCTTAAAGCAAAATATGCAATTCCTAGAATAAAATATCTTCTGTTTTATATTAAATAATTGTTCATGGTTGTAAAGAGTCTTTATTTCTACTTTACTTTAAAGTAAGCACTGCATGCATATTGCACATTACTACATATTGCACATTATTACACATTATTACACATTACATTGCACATTACACATTATAAGAGCAACATGGAATGCTTTTTCCCTTATTAAAAATCATTGCATAAATACAATTTATATTTTTGTAATATTTCATCAGACAATGACAAAGCAAAATTATCTTCCAGTGTATAATCACGTTAAGTAAAAACAAAGTCAAATTCAGATTAATGCTCTATTTTGCCAAACACTGGAAATATCCTTTATCTTTCTTAATAACTAAAAGATTCTAAACTTTACATAACAGAAACAAACAAAATATTTGAGGTAAATCAAGCAATAAATAAAACATGAAAGCAGTAGTTTAATATCTGAATTTGTTCTGAAATTAAATTGAATTTAAACCTGTGTGTTTATACGCTATCTATCAAATTATCCCCTGATCTCTGAATAACTTTACATGAAAAGTATCTCCACACTCTTTAGAATATTCAGTCTGGATTCAGAATGTATCACAGAATTTAAATAGCCAATTATAACATCTAATCCTGCAATAAAATGTGCACATGAGCAAAAGTGTATAGACATATATTTGCATGCATGATTTAGAAGGTAAATGAAATTTAGAAAAAAAATTACACTGACGTGATTTAATCAATATTTACCATTAAAAGTATGCCATATAAATATAACGCTGAGTAAGTTGTCCATAACAAATATAACCTGTGTTTAACGTATTTCATCCATTTCCATTTTAATTCAAAATGCAAATATGCCAAGTCAGTTGACTGAGTAAACAATATTTCAAGCAGACTTATAATATTAATTGAAATATTTAAGGCTTTTTTATCCTATATTCTAATATGGCAATTGTTACTTTATTTAAAAATATATTTTTAATTTTTTTTAGTCTCGCTATTAAAAAAAACACTGAAAGCAATTATAACAGCAACATTCATTCCTGAGCACATGGTGGCAGTATGACAGCAAAATTCTTTCGAAGCTTAGTTACAAACCTACACAAATCATCAGCTCATAAAACACAATCCTGTAGTCAATATTAGACCCAATCCTGTTAACAGCTGTCCATAAATCATAGATTAAACACATTAGCAAGATATTATTCAGGATAAGCTGAAATATACCATGGTTGATATATTTACAAATTGCTGGTAGAATAAAATTTGATTTTAAGAATGAAGGAGGAATGTTAATAAGAGTGACAGAAAGTCTTATGCAAATCAAGGAGAATTGGTTAGGTTGCATACAGGTAATACTTGATTTACCACCACAGTATTATTTACAGCAATATTATTTATTGTATCTGTCATGTGTCAAATCACATGATACATACAATGAATAATATAAATAATGGGGATAATTCTTGTTCTATAAGAACCATGAAGCATTAATAAGCAGCACTAGATATTTTTACCAGCTTTTCCTATACCATTCTTACACTTCCTCTGATGGTATATAGTTACTGAATCTTTTCTTCAATACATAGGAATCAAATGCTCTCCCACCTTACTTATCAATTTCCATGACACACAGAAAAGAAATAAACAACCAACAGGTCCATTATTTTGAGAAACTATTTAGACTACATCATTTCTGTCCAAAATATAATTATATTACCACTATCTTGCTGAATTGTTGAAATAAATTTTATATAAAGTTAAGTTTGTGCAACAACAAATCTACCTTTTTTACAGAGTTAAAAGATTCACTAGTTTGTAACCTTACTTTCTAGTCTATGTTTTAAAATGGTCTTTATAACATTTTGTTATAGAGTTCATTTTTCAAGAGAAATCATGCTATTGATTATTAACCTTACTTAATGAATAAACATTGCCATAATTTTCTCAATTTCTTCTATTAATAATTCTAAAATAGTTTTTATATACAGTACTTAGTGTAATACATGGAATTGTCAGAGAGGATCAGGTCATATGAAGAATCTAAAATTTTGCCCAGTAACATTGTCAGAACGATAGTTCTAAGAATCATAAACGATTCCGACAATGTTACCGAGCAAAATTTTAGATTTTTCATATGACCTGATCTTCTCTGACAACCAATTCACAAGACTATACATTAAAGCAGCAAATGTTATTCGCTAGAAATTGGTGAATTAGAGTGCTGATTAATAATTTATCACATAACTTGCAAAATAATTTTGCTGGGATGACTTATTTATTTATTATTATATATATGACTTTTCATTTGTATGAACTCTCATCCAATGACATCCAGAAACTTCAAAAACACACAAAAATGCTAATTATGAGTCGTTAAATTTTACACTTCATGTTCCAGTTTTTCTCCATGTAGTGAATTTTAGATTGTACCTTTATGAAGGTACAATTCCTTTTTTTATCAATTTTATTAAATATATAAGTAAAATGAACATACCTACAGAATAAAAAAACACTTTTATAAAAGGAAAAATGAAAAAATACACAAAAAGAAAATAGAAAAAAAAACTTTCCTCTTCATCTGCAGCATCTCTCTTGTATTCTATAAAATGTTGCACACAAAGTGATCACTCAGTAACTAAAGTGAATTAAATACAATTTTCAGTCGGTCAGTCAATAAACAGAACACATGAATAGTCAATCTCATAATTCAGCTGAAAGGACTCAAGAATTAAAACAGTCATGCAAAAGTAATTACCTAATAAAGCAGGGAGTTATTTGCATTTCACATACAGTAATTTATATATTTCATTTAAATTCACATATTTTTGCTCAGATGATCACTCAATGTGGCAAGCAAAATTAAACACAATTCCAAAGATTAATGATAAATACAATTAATATTAACGTTAAAGATGTGGCATTAGAGATTTCCTAAATATTAAGTAGGGACCAAATATAATCAGCAAGCTGAGAAACAGTATCTGGGGAAGTCATGTCTCTGCTAGCAGACCTATCTTTGTAAATGTGTCTTCTCTAGATCTTAAAGGCTTGTTTGTAATAGAACATGCAGTGTTCAGAAATGGTGAATCAACTTTTTTTAATAAGGGTCTTAGAACAGCAGTCTACAGGTTAATGAAAACACATCTTTTCCAAGATCTGATCTTCACCTTTAACCAAATCTGACAGATTTAACCAATAGGCTCAAGTAAACAGGTGAAAACCCTTCATTTCTGCAAGCATGCTGTCCATATAGACACAAGCCAAAAACTATAGAAAACTAACCTTAGCAAACACTTATTATATTACAATACTGTCACATCCATAGTTAGTTTTAAACACTGTTTGAAAGCCCTATCCTTTTAGAATTCACAAAGCAAAGCTTTTCAAATTCCATTTAGTCAACTGTGAAAGTATCTGAGAGAGTTATCTACTGTAAAGTAAATAAGGTGATTTAAAATGTGTTAAACTTGTTAGAGTGAGCAGACTACTGTATCTCATTGAATTGCTTAGTATTATATATTCCCAAAGCATAAAGCTAAAGACTGTGAAATAGGATTAAAACTACCAAAGAGAGATGCCTGCTTTTGTCAAAGATGTCAGTTAACATAAAAAAACTAGCTTATTAACAGCTGTTTGTACGTGCCTGTGGTATCTATGAAATCAAACTATAACCTTATTAAAGGATTTTCCATTTTATCAGAGCAGCTTTAAGACTTAAGAATAAAAAAGCCAAATGCAATGTTTTTTTAAAAAATACTTGATTTTCAATTATAACGACCAATCAATTGCTGCCTAAAAATTGTCATCATGTTTTGCCTCTTTGATTCTGCTCTTCCCACATCCATTCGAAGACTCACAGTATTGCCAATATCACTTGGTATTAAACTGACAAAGCACAGCACACAGTGATCTAATGATTACTTCAGCAGTAAAATATCCTGTTTTTAATGTCCATTTATCACAAATCTGATCTATATTCAACTATAGAAATATAACATATTCCAACACAAATAGATACCAACACAACATCACCAAACATATGCATACATCTAGTCACAAAATTACTTGAACATACTCAACAGCTAATTGGCAGCCAATACCGGTTCTTCTACCCTTTAGCCACTCAATTTTCCATTGTTTATAGGTTCTGGGATTACACAGTCCAGTCTTGAATTACCAATGCATGGTTCCCAATCCAGGACCAGAGAGTGAATATGTATTCTTTTATTCATGTTTTAAAAAAAATATGTCTTTACATTCTAGGGCCAGAAAAAGGTCTGGGGGAAAAAATGCATTGCCTTATAAAATTTGGAAAACCCAGATATAAGAGAAATATGTTTGATACAAATTTACTATCCACTGTAGCCATCTATTTTATAAGTTGCTAAACAATAATTTAAAACAAGCAAAATCCTTATGTCAAGGGGAAAATTATCATTACAAAATATATAAAGTAATGTAATAGCCGTATTACTATTTATCAGACTCATCTCAGTCTTTAGGAAGCTAGCTATATTAGAACAATTTGTAAGCATATTCTTACCTCTTCGATCACGAGCTGCTAAATTAGTACCTCGTCTTAATATAATATCCAACTGGTACATTCCTGGTTCAGCAGGTGGTAATTCTACATTACTTGTCCCAGCAAGACCAAATCTCTAAAAAGCATAAAGAAAATATTAAAATATCCTTTCAACAGTTTTAGTATCTTCTCAATTACCTTGTTTGGAAACTAGAATTCCTTATTCTCATAACTAGGACATCAAGATAACAACATAATTGATTGACAGTAACAGATTTTCACAATTCTCTTCCTATTTATAAATATTAAGAATTTTCAGCAGGTACATAAAAATAAGATAAAAATGATGGAAGCAAATTATTAGCTTCTCACAAAAGATCAATTGTATTCTATAGGTAACAGCTTGTTCTACAATTTACTTCTCCTATTTTGACAGTCAGAACAATGATAGAACAGAAATAAAAAACTTAAACAGGTAAAACAGAAAATCTAAGAACCATACATTTATATAGTTTAAAATAAGCAGCATTAACAGAAGTTTGTCATTAATAAATTTTTTTGCTTCCACTTTTATAACCATCATGTCTTTATCAAATTTATTGATACTGGAAAGATCTCAATGATTTTGCAAAATGCAGTTGGTTAAATAAAGTTCCTGCCTATTTGGATTTTTCTTCATGCCCTACACAACTACCAATGGGATTAGGGGTTGGGGTTTTTTTGGTACTATTGTGAATATCAGCATCCTATTATGTTAAGATTTTTATTTTGAACATTTTCAATAATTATACTAATGTATTTATTAATAATGAGCAGTTTAAATAATTGTGTTTTCTCCTTGATTAGTTTCCATCCATTGCTTCTTGTCCTGCCTTCAGGTGCTTCATCGGCATCATAGGGTTGTTTTATTCAAGACAATTTTATTTTTATAGTAAAAAACAGACCATCAATAATATATTTCTAAACAGAGGTAAGTTCAGAGTTGAACATTTATTTTGTGCAGTATTAATTTGATATCAATAAAATTTAAATAGCAATTAGATTTTAAATTAATTTTCTGATTTTTTTGAAAAACTTTCATTATTTCAGTTCAGAAGTACAGCATTTGTTCTTAGCATATTTGAAAATCTACTGACAAATTACCTGTATACTGACAACCACTGTAAATCAAGTAACTTGCTAGAATCAGCATACCTTATTACTATAAACAAAGTATTAGATACCTATTCCATTAGAGTCATATACTAAGTCTGAGAATTTGTTTGTGAAATGTACATCTTTAGCACGAGTAGTCACATTGTAGCACTCAAATAATAGTCTGAAGTCATTAAAAAGTTAAGCAAGTAAAATATAACACTACAGCAGCTTAAAGAGAGATATAGACAATCGAAGGAATTTTAGGAAGTTTTAAAAATCCAGTAGATTAAAAAGATTTTCACTGACTTCAAAATGTTACACTGTAGTGTAGGCAAGATTACTTATAATGTAGATTATAAAGTACCAAAGCAACAAACCTTTGCATTAAAATGAGTCATAAATATTCTTATTTATGTAGTGATATTGAATCACTAATCATAAACACTAATTTGAAAACTGGTTTAATTTTTTTATTCAAACTTGATGAACGATTATTTGTTTTCCTAAACGATGAGAAAAAAATGAGCTCAGAACAGCCTTAAAGCTCAAAAGACTTACACTTTTCTCACAAAAGAGCCGGAAAGCATCAAGATCATATCTAGTACAACTGTCACATTAATTTTAACTTCTGTAAATTATAAATGACAAAATTTTAAAAGGGAAATAATATTTGATACACACAGAATATAAGAAATCGTTGGCTATTGGAGGATCACAGAAAACTTTTTGGTGGGTGAAACTAGGAAACTAGGAAACTTCAATTAGCAGAAGATGCATTAATGGAAGTACTGATACTAGATATTGCAAACATTCCACCATTATTGCACAATCATCGATGACTCCTGGTTTCTTTCCAGACTAAGACTAACTTTTACCTTTAACCTGGTGAAGTTCTTCATGAATTAAAGGAACAAAATTTGAAGGCTACAGTTTTCTATACAGATAGAAAACTTACAACTAGAACTTACAACTGTTCGTTTAGTGAATGTTCAAAGTTACAATGGCACTGAAAAATGTGACTTAGAACCGTTTTTCATAGTTTATGACCTTTGCAGCATCCCTATGATCATGTGATCAGAATTCAGATGCTTAGCAACTGACTAATTTTTATAATGGTTGCAGTGTCCCGGGATCATGTGATCCCCTTTTGCGATTTTCTCACAAGCAAAGTCAATAGTGAAACCAGATTCACGAAACAACTTTGTTACTAATTGATCAATTGCAGTGATTCACTTAATATCTGTGGCAAGAAAAGTCATAAAATGGGGTAAAACTCACTTAACAAATTTCTCACTTAACAACAGAAATTTTGGGCTCAATTGTAGTTTTAAGTTGAGGACTTCCTGTACTTTCCTACTCATGCTCCACAAACAGAAACCTGCCAAAACAGTCTTCACATTCAGTAGCAAGTAGTAATCAATTTATTGATTACCTAACAATTCTGGAATGCCTTTCCTATGAGTCTTTCAGGTATCTATGTTATTGATTTTTCAGGCCCAATGGATTTTTAAAATCTCAGTCTATTCAACTTTCCATAGCTCTTATTGATCATCTTTATTTTAAAGTTGCATCTTGGATATAAGTTCAAATTAGTAGCTATTATAAATTCTTTTTATAATTTGTTACTATTTTAAGCTATATTGTAAACACTTTTATATTACATTTAAATTATAGATTTAATTCTGTGGTTTCCATGGAAGCCTTGATTAGATGAATAAATGAATGAATACAATGGGAATGAAAGGGAACTACAAGCCATTATACTATACTAAGCTCATATCATAATATACACATACACCTTGGAAATGTTTTTTTAAAAACGGAATATATCTTTAATAAATAAAACAAATGTATGAGCATTTGCATACATCATACTTGAGATTTTTTTAAAAATATGAACCCAAATTAATAAGATTTGTCAACTGAAATTAAATTAAATACAGTATACTGGACTATACTATCAGACCTTAATGACTGCCTCAGAAACAATAAATAGTCCACAGGAAAGCTGATTCATTAATTGCAAGCTATGTATGTATGTATGTTAATGCCTTTTTTTTATTATTTGTTAGCATTATGGTATATCATTATTGCAAAGGTATAAGTACAACAGACAATAGAACAGAACTAGAGAACAATGCATATAAATCCTCGTAGTAATTTTTCTCTATGCCAAGATGTTGCACTATTTCTAGTCTTAAAATTATATTCATGTCCTCCATCTTACATAAACCAAAACAATCATGCCCTACATTTTAGAATTTAGAAATATATTATTCATCCAGTTTTCAGTATTTAAGAGATAACAAGTCCTTCAACTCAGCTCAACTAGTAATTGGTATGCTATATAACACCTCTTCTTAGAGAATGTCATTGGTTACTACTAGATTACTGCCACATGTAAAACCCTTCATGGTCCAGAGCCTGAATACAGTGATAACACCTTCTCTCAGTGTATTCTGCCTGCCTGACAAGATTCAATAAAATGAGTTTCTACCTGTACCCTCAGTTAGAGACTGTGACCTACAGATGCCAAAGAACACATTTTCAATTGCTGCCTCCCTCCTGTGAAAATAGTATCCCTCCAGATATTTGAAGGGCCCCACTCCTTCCTGACTTCTAGAAAGTCAGAAAAAGTTAGTTGTTTTAACAGGTCTGGGAAGCAGAGTTGCTGAGACTATTTCTCTACTTATTACCGGTAGTTAATTTTACTTTGGTAGTCATGGTTAAATAATGTATGTTTTTTAGGTTTATTTGATCATGCATTGACAATGTAATTTTGATTTTTTTTCTATTTTTTTAATCTTAACCAGACAAATGGATTTGGGGTAATTTACTCAAAGTTGACTGAATGGGGCAGGCTTTGGTTTTTTCTGGTGCCATCAAGTCAATGTTAACTCTTAGTGACTGCTTGAATGAGTCTTTGCACTTTTCTCGGCAAGATTTTTTGAAGTGATTTGCCACTGCCTGCTTCTCAGGGCCAAGTGTGTGGCCCAAGGTCACCCTGTTGCTTTGTGCTAAAGGTGAAACTAGAACTCCCAGTCTCCCAGTTTCTAGCTGGATGCCTTATACCAAACTGGCCACAACAATACACAATACACGAGCAAATAATAGATACAAACTCAAGGTAAACCATTCCAAACTCGATTGCAGAAAATATGACTTCAGTAAGAGAGTGGTCAATGCCTGTAATGCACTACCCGACTCTGTAGTTTCTTCCCCAAACCCCCAAAACTTTAACCTAAAACTGTCTACTTTTGACCTCACCCAATTCCTAAGAGGTCTGTAAGGGGTATGCATAAGTGCACCAGTGTGCCTATTGTCCTAATATTGCTATTTACTTACTCTTTTCATGTATTCAAATTATGTTTATACTTTTACCTGTTATCTTATATATGCTTGACAAATAAACTTATGACTTATACCTTCTTCAAATAAATAAATAAATATTTTTCTACCCATGCTGCAATAGACAAATAACTCAAATCACAACAAAGTCTCAGAGCAATGCGAGAAAACTATAAAGCAAAGCCATTTGCATTAAGAAGATTTTAAAGTACAGATTTTACACCAAAAACAGAACACAGTAATCACCATAAACACTTAGATCATTTGCCCAAACAGTCAGCAATACAGTTGGAGACAAATGTAATTATCACAAGATAAATGAAAATAATTGGAATCTTGGAACACTATGAAACATTAGCACAAACTCATTACAGAATAATTTCAATTATCCAAATATCTAGAGTAACATTTATTTTCCTTCTCCTAAGCAAAGTGAAATAGCTTATAGTAGATAGTGGCACAACATACACAAAAATGTGCACTTAAAACATGTTGCTCTAAAGCAGAGGTCTGCAAGCAGAGCCTCTAGTACAGTGGACTAAAGCACTGTTATTAACATCTGCTGCTTGCAATTACTGCAAGTTCAAATCTCACCAGGCTCAAGGTTGACTCAGCCTTCCATCCTTTCAAAGGTAGGTAAAATGAGGACCC